AGATCATATGTCCAGTATTGTGTTTCACGGTGTTGTTTAACATGTTCCTCCATGTATATTTACAAAAAACTGATAGTGAGATCCAGTCTTGATCAGATGGACATTTGTGAGTTGTTTATCAAGAACAATTCATGGGTGGCACTGTGTATGTACATCCTGTACCACTGCATCATGTGGTGACTATCTGGTGGTGGTGGTGGTTTGTGACCTTAAGTTTGTTTAAGGTGTTTAGATGTGAGCATGATTCTTTCATTCTAAAGTTCCCCATTAAGTTTTTATCTGATACAGGAATATCTTAATGGTGAAAATGCCTGCATCCATTATTTAATTAGTTGCTTTAAAACGATATCATTGCTTTGTCATTTTTTCTGTGTATATTATATGGAATTATTGTATAAAGAATAGTTTTCCATTACTAGTTTTTAGATTACCCTAAAATATAGCTTATGCAGGAAGGGTGGCATAAATGCTTGATTCTTTTCCTTTATGAATGTCTTTCCAGAAGAGCTGTTACCTTTAACAAACTCCAGAGGTGCCCAGTGTGGGGATGTGTATACATTCACTTGTGTGTACATTTTGAATCAATAGTTTTAACATATTGTCTGGTGTTTTTCAGTCCATTGCAGTCATTATTCTTTCTGGTACTTAAATTGTTCTTTTTTGGCCAGTGGAATCTCCTCAAGTTGTCTTCTGTATTCTTGTGACATGACTCCCAGTAGGTGTGGCAGCTTTTCTGTCTCTCTGTATAGAGAACATGTATAGTCCCTATTGGCATTCACACAAAATCTTTGTGCCTTGTTTCAGCTGCTCTGAAGAGTGGCTCCATTGCTTTGGGGTATTTCTCACCCTCCAAAACTGAAATTCTGCATGTCAGAGAGTTTGTGTTTATATTAGGTCATTGCAAACATACTATGTAAGTTTTATGAAAATCCATACATCCATTTTACACAAGGTAGTAACAGCAAAATAGAAGCTTAATATCATTCATATAAATAGTCCAAAATGCTTTTCTCTTGGGACAGAGAGGATTAGAGGAGATGGATAACGATAGACATCGATTTTGACATAATGAATTTGAAATAGTAATATATCTAGTTACACTTATTTGGTACAAATATGCCCTCAGGCCCAGTCTTAAAGTAAAACTATTCTATTGTTTGTAAATTGTTTTTTTGTTGTTGTTTGTTTTGTTAATCCTCATCCAAGAATATTTTTTCCATTGATTTTTCGAGAGAGTGGGAAGGAAGGAAGTAGGGGAGAAAGAGAGAAACACAAATGTGAGCCCTGGCCCTGGAACCTGTAACCCAGGAATGTGCCCTTGACCAGGAATTGATCCCAAGATATTTTGGTGCATGAGTCAATGTTATAATCACTGAACAACATTGGCCAGGATGGTTCTATATTGTTGTAGTCTCTCCCCCAATGAGCCCGGAACTGGGATTCAGTGCAGTTGGAACTGGGGTTGGAAGTGGGGTTCAGTGCAGTCCGGAGCTTTTGTCTCCTTCCCGCTAGGGCATTCCAGTGGCACAGTCAACAGTCTGTCCTCTGCGCATAACTTGCACGCCTCCTGGACTGCCTTTAACCGCTCCCCTGAATTCCCGCCTTACAGCCCAGATTCCCTTCATATGAGCCTGAGTCCCCAGGGTCTGGCCTAGAACTGGGGTTCAGTGCAGTCGGAACTGGGGCTCAGCATAGTCCGGAGCTTTTGTCTCCTTCCCGCTAGGGCAATCTAGCAGCAGAGTCAACAGTCCGTCCTCTGCGCGTAATGTGCTCGCCTCCAGGGGCTCTGCCTTTCGCTGCTCCCCTGAGATTCTGCCTAATAGCCCAGGCTCCCTCTGTATGAACCTGGATCCCCAGGGTCTGGCCTAGAACTGGGGTTCAGTGCTGTCGGATTGGGTTCAGCACAGTCCGGAGCTTTTATCTCCTTCCCGCTAGGGCAGGGGTGTCGAACTCAATCAGAGAAGGGGCCAAAATCTAAAATCCAGCCTAAATCGCGGGCCGAATGGTTTACTGAACAGTCATAAACTGACAATGTTAACCAGAAATGTGAATTTAAAATGAGTGGAACAATCTTTTCCTTAATAGTGCTGTTAACCAACTCACATGCTATCAAGCAAAACAGTAATATTGGTATCAAGCAAAACAGTAATATTGGAATGTACCTAAAATGCTCATTGTTTTGTTTTCTGGCTAGATGTCTGACACCGTTTTCCCCGGATCAATGAGTCAATGTTCAGTTTTATTTCTTGGGCTGCAGCAACCCGCAAAACAGCATGGAGGTTGTCATCGGTAATGCGTGATCTGTGCTTGTTTTTGTTCAGATTCATTATTGAAAACATCTGTTCACAAAGATAGGTGCTCCCGAACATGGATAGAATACGGGCAGCATGAAGTTGGAGCTCTGGCATTGAGTCAGGGGGCAGTAGAGGGTAGAAGTCCTCAATTTCAACATCCTAAAACCTTGATTTCAGGCCACTGTCAGACTGAAGCTCGATTATCTCCATCTGAAGGTGATGGGGCACATTGTTGACATCAACTGTAAAAGGATTGGCAAAGATGTCAAAGCCTGAGTGCTGTGTTCTAAAGTCAGAGAAGCGCCGCTCAAATTCACTTAGTAAACGGCTAACTTTGGTAGCCAGCCGACTGCAAGGAAAAGTACCAGAAATAGTGGTTGAGATACTCAAACAAACGGGAAAGTGGGCAAGATTGTCCTGTTCCAGTTGGGACTTTCATAGTTGAAGTTTACGCTGGAATGCTGTGATCATGTCAGACACCTTCGTGATGACTTGTTTGCGTCCCTGCAGCTTCAGATTCAGTTGGGAGAGATGCTCGCATATGTCACACATCATAGCAAAATCACATAGCCAGGCGGGATCCGACAGTTCAGGCAAGGGCTTTCCTTTACTTTCCATGAAAAGAGCAATTTGTTCTCTGAGCTCAAAAAATTTTTTGAGGACTGCGCTCTTGCTCAGCCATCTTACTTCTGTGTGGCATGGCACGTCTCCATGCTCTGCACCCACCTCCTGTAAAAACTGCTGGAACTGGCGATGATTCAGGCCACGTGCCCGTATAAAGTTAATAGTTTTAATGACTGTGGTCATTATGTCATTCATGTCCAGAACTTTTCCACACATAGCCTCTTGGTGGATAATGCAATGATAAGTAATCAAGGGTGTGTGGCAGCGACTTTTTTGCATTCTTTCCTTCATTAGTCCAACCAAGCCTTTCTTTTCTCCGCACATTGAAGGTGCGCCATCGGTAGTTAGCCCCACCAACTTTTCCCAGGGTAATTTAAAATTATTTATAGATTTCTCCACAGCCTCAAATATATCTCTACCAGTCGTCATCCCATGCATGGCAGCTACATCCAAAAGTTCCTCAGTGACAGAGAGTTCGGTCTTCGTAGCATGTATAAAGATGGACAGCTGCGCTGTATCAGTGTTGTCAGTGCTTTCATCGATAGCAAGTGAAAAAGCGAGATAACTGCATGCCTGTTCGGCCAGCTGTGATGATAGATTTCCTGAGAGTTCTTGAACTCTATCTGCAATGGTGTTTCTTGACAAACTGACATTTTGAAAACTCTGTATCTGGTCTGGGCATACTTGCTCACACACTTTTAGCATGCATTGCTTCAAAAAGGCACCCTCTGAAAAACACCTTGAAGTACGGGCAATTTCTTCAGCCACTATAAAGCTTGCTTTCACTGCAGCATCATTTTTCGCTGTAGCCTTTGTAAACATTTGCTGCTGTGATTGTAGTTTGCCTTTTAGTTCTTTAACAATTTTATGCTTTTCTTCCAAAGTATATTTGTCATACTTAACATTATGTTTGGTGTCAAAATGACGACGTATATTGTACTCTTTCATCACAGACACTGTCTCATAACACAATATACACACTGGTTTGCCCTCTCTAAGCACAAACATGTATTCATTTTCCCATTTGTCATTAAATTGTCTGCCTTCACCGTCAACTTTTCTTTTCCTGGACATTTTGGGATCAATATTGGCAGTAAAAGATGTAGTTTATTGGAAATCTGCGTTAGAAGGAAAAAGTTGAAAACTGCACAGGGATAGCTTGATTTGACAGATGGAGTGGAGAAAAAAAAAGTCAGTCAATAAATGCCTGGCTGGGTACAGATAGCAGATTCTGTTGAGATTTTTATGCCTGCACTTTATGCCAGGAACTGGCAGCTTCTGCTGTGTATTTTTTATGCCCGCACACTCACTCTCTCCTCTGCTCTGCCACCCGCACAACCACATTGGATGCCGGACTATAGGTCACGCCTCCTGAATCTCGCGTGACTTGTTATCTATGCGCATGTGTAATAGATAGCAAGTACGGCGGCCCGCAAGGTGGCCGGCGAGATCACAAGCCTCCTATGTCACCGCGCGTCATTGTGATGGAACGCAGCGGAGTGCAGTGATGACAGCGCGGTGCGGGCCACATTGCAAGGCCTGGCGGGCCGGATTTGGCCCGCGGGCCTTGTGTTTGACATGTGTGCGCTAGGGAATGCCAGCCAGGCACCCATCCTCCCCCTCTTCTCCAGCTCAGTCCTCTCCCTGCGCGCACTGTGTGTCTGTACCTTAGGCTTTTACAGCTCCTCTGATTTTCCTTCTGGTTTTCTCTTTCCTTCTAGTTGTAGAATTTCCAGTCAGTCAACTTTCTTGTAGTTCTGTATAATTTCCATTTTGTATTTTAGTTGTATTTTTTTGAAATTGTTGTGTGAGGCTACAGTTAGGTGTTTACCTATGCCGCCATATTGGTTCCTCTCTATATTGTTTTAATGGTATCACTATAAAACTAAAAAGTTGAGAGAATAAGTGATTTGCTAAAGTCAGGGAAAAAATTAGCAAAGCCAGATATTGTATGAGAGATACTTAGTAGTTTCAAAAGACATATATGAAATTGAGAAGATTCTTTTTCCACAATATTTTTTAACTCTCCTTTTGGTGAGCCTCTTGAAATGAACTAAATACCTTCTTTTTCTTTTTAATTAGAGTCCTAAGAGTGGCCTGAAAGAGAGGATTTATCTAGAGGAAAACCTGGAGAAAAATGAAGTGATTCAGGACACTGTGAGTATAAAACCTGTGAAATGTAGTGCTTTTCTGATACTTAAAGTGACAGCCATTTCTGCTATTTGGTTTTTGTTGTTTTTGTTTGTTCGTTTTGAGAGAGAGCTTAAACTTTAAAGTAACTGAATAATGTTTTTTTGATAAATGGAGAGGTGCCCACAGTCAGTATGATTAAGTGTTGAATGTTTTTATTGCAGTGAGGCACGTAACATAAAGTTTGCTGTGGTTGTTCTAAGTGTGTAGTTCATGGCATCTGTTACCTTCACGCTGTGCAGCAGCACAGCACTCATCTCAGAACTCCCATCTTCCCTCAGCCGAGGCTTGCACACTTGACTCGAGGTTGGTCATCTTCTCCCTCCAGCCTCTGGCAGCCACCTTCCTGCTTCCTGCCTCTGGGAATGTGACTCGCCTAAAACCTAGGGCAGTGGGATCATACAGTAATGATCATTTTGTTGACCAGTCTATTTCACGATTCATCTCTGTTGTAGCAAGTGTCAGAATGTTTGTCCTTTTTAAGGCTGAATAATGATCCATCATCTGTTTGTACCTCATTTAGTTCACCCATTTGTCAGTGAGCACTTGGGTGGGTTCTTTCTCTTGGCTCTTGTGAATAATACTCCTCTGATCATGGTTGCACACATAGTGTTCAAGTTCTTTCCGGTCTTTCTGTTTTCTTTAATTCTTTGTTTAAAATATTACATATAGTATTACATATGTCTCCTTTCCCCCCATTGACCTCTCTCTGGCCACTCCCATCCCCCAGCACATGCCCTCACCTCCCTATTGTCCATACCCATTGGTTATGCTTATATGCATGCATACAAGTCCTTTGGTTGATCTCCTCATCCTCCCCTCTACCCTGCCCCCCCTGACATCCTTCTGAGGTTTGACGGTCTGTTAATGCTTTTCTGGCTCTATTTTTGTTCATCAGTTTATGTTGATCATTATATCCCACAAATGAGTGAGGTCATGTAATATTTATCTTTCTCGGACTGGCTTATTTCACTTAGCATAATGCTCTCCAGCTCCATCCACACTGTTGCAAATGGTAAGAATTCATTCTTTTTTTTACAGCTGCATAATATTCTATTGTGTAGATGTGCCACAGTTTTCTAATCCACTCATCTGCTGATGGGCACTTAGGTTGTTTCCAAATCTTAGCTATGGTGAATTGTGCTGCTATGAACACAGGGGTGAATATCCTTTCTGATTGGTGTTTCTGGTTTCTTGGGATATATATTCCTAGAAGTGGGATCATTGGGTCAAATGGGAGTTCCATTTTTAATTTTTTTTTGAGGAAATTTCATACTGTTCTCCACAGTGGCTGCACCAGACTACATTCCCACCAGCAGTGCACGAGGGTTCCTTTTTCTTTGCATTCTCATCATCACTTGTTGTTTGATTTGTTGATTATTGCCATTCTGACAGGTGTGAGATGGTACTGCATTGTCGCTTTGATTTGCATCTCTCTAATGATTAGTAACTTTGAGCATGTTTTCATATGTCTCTTAGCCTTCTATATGTCCACTTTCAAAAAGTGTCTATTTAAGTCCTTTGCCCATTTTTTTATTTGATTGTTTATCTTTTTTTTTTTTATTAAGATGTATAAGTTCCCTGTAAATTTTAGAATTAGGCGCTTATCGGATATAATATTGACAAAAATGTTTTCCCATCTAGTTGGCTTTTTTGTTGCTTTATTTTGATGTAGTCCCATTTATTTATTTTCTCCTCAGTTTCTATTGCTATAACATCTATCTGATATTTTGCTGCCTATGGCTTCTTCTAAGATTTTTATGGTTTCCCGTCTTACCTTTAAGTCCTTTATCCATTTTGAGTTTGTTTTTGTGTATGGTGTTGGTGATCTAGTTTCATTTTTTTTTATTTATCTGTCCAGTTTTCCCAACACCATTTATTAAAACTGTCTTGACTCCATTGTATGCTCTTGCCTACTTTGTCAAATATTGAGTATAATAATATCCAGTATTGTGATCCCTCCAACTTTGTTCTTTCTCCAGATTGCTGCAGCTATTTGGGGTCTTTTTAAAATTTCATACGAATTTTAGATATTTTTTTCTAGATCTGTGAAACATGCCATTGGTATCTTAATGGAGATTGCATTGAATATATAAATTGCTTTGGGTAGTGTGGACATTTTCATGATGTTGATTCTACAATCATTAACACAGTATATTCTCCCATTTGTTTATGTCTTTCTCAATCTGTTTTTTCAATGTCCTGTAGTTTTCCAAGGACAGGTTTTTTACCTCCTTAGTTAAGTTTATTTCTAGGTATCATAATTTATTTGGTGCCATGGTAAACGGGATTGTTTTTTTAGTTTCTCGTTCTGTGAGTTCTTTTTTTTTTTAATCTATATTGTTCAGATTATTACAGATGTTCCTCTTTGTTCCTCCATAGCTACCCTCCACTCAGTTTCCACCTCACCCTCTGCCCTTACCTCCCCACACTGTCTTTGTCCATAGGTGTACGATTCTTGTCTTCCTGCACCCCCCACATCCCTTTCCCCCTGAGAATTGTCAGCCCACTCCCTTTTTATGCCTCTGATTTTATTATATTCACCACTTTATTCTGTTCATCAGATTTTTTATTCACTTGATTTTTAGATTCACTTATTCATAGATATGTATTTGTTGTTCATAATTTTTATCTGTAGCTTTTTCTTCTTTTTCTCCTCTTAAAGAATACCTCTAGCATTTCATATAATACTAGTTTGGTGTTGATGAACTCCTTTAGCTTTTTCTTATCTGTGAAGCTCTTTATCTGACCTTCAGTTCTGAATTATAGCTTTGCTGGATGAGTAATCTTGGTTGTAGGTTCTTCCTATTCATCACTTTGAATATTTTTTTCTATTCCCATCTGGCCTGCATAGTTCCTGTTGACAAGTTAGCTGACAATCATATGGGTGCTCCCTTGTAGGTAACTAACTGTTTTTCTCTTGCTGCTTTTAATATTCTCCCTTTGTCTTTTGCCCTTAGCATTTTAATTATGATGTGTCTTGGTATGGTCCTCTTTGGATTCCTTTTGTTTGGGGTTTTGACTTGTAAGTTTATTTTCTTCACCAGCTGGGGGAAGTTTTCAGTAATTATTTCTTCAAATAGGTTTTCAGTATCTTCTTTTCTCTCTTCTGGGACCCCCATAATTCGGATGTTGGTACGCTTGAAGTTGTCCCAGAGGCTCCTTACACTATCTTCAAACTTTTGGATTCTTTTTTCTCTTTGTTTTTCCGGTTGAGTGTTTTTTGCTTCTTTGTATTTCAAAACTTTGACTTGATTCTTGCGATCCTCTAGTCTGCTGTTAGGTCTCTATAATATTTTTTATTTCAGTTAGTGTATGTTTAATTTCTAGGTGGTCCTTTTTCATATCCTTGAGGGTCTTGCTAAATTTTATCAGCATTTTCTAGGAAATTGTTAAAAAAAAAAAAACACCACCTTTTAACCGTGGTTTTGAAATCTATATCCAGTCGTTTGTTTTCCTCCATTTCTTTTGTTTGTGATTTGTTTCTTTGTGATCGCATTTTCTTTGCTTCCTGGAGTTGGTAGGGTAGCTTTGTGTGCTAGTGTCCTATATGGCCCAGTGGCTCAGCCTCCACAGTTACCTGAAGTGGACATTTTTAGTGCACCCTTTGTGGACTGTGTGTACAGCCTTGCTGTATTAAAGTCTTGATTGTTGTTGGTATCACTGGGAGGAATTGACCTCCGGGCCAATTGGCTGTGAGCATCAGCTGTGTCCCTGCCAGGAGAACTTCTGTGCTGGATCCAGCCTTATGAGACAACACTTGCAAAATTGCAAAGCCTCTGTGCTCACCTTGGATGGGGCAGAGTTTCAGGGCTGGGCAGACAGCCTTGGCTTCCCATCAGCCCTGCCTTATGAGGCCCTTAGGCTTTAATGTTCTTTGGTAATTGCTGCAATCACCTCTGAGAGAAAGCCACCCGAGTCTTGCATCAGACAGTCCAGTTTCTTCTCCAGTGAATCTGTATTCTCAGATTCTTGCTCGAAACTGAAGTTCAGTGCAGCCATGAGCCTCTGTCTCTGTCCCGCTAGAGAAAGCCAGTGGCACACTCAGAAGTCAGTCCTTTCTGTGCACTCGTGAGTACCTCTGGATCTCTGCCTCTCACAGCAGCTACCCTGAGTTTCTGTGTGCTTTTTTCTTTTTCTGACAGTCCATATTTCCCCCATGTGAGTCTCGGTCACCAGGGTCTCGCTCAGAACTGGGGTTCAGTGCAGTCAGAAGCTTCCTTTTCCCTCCCACTTGAGAAAGCCAGCTAGGCACTCAGCTGCCTGTCCTCTCTGCACACATGTCTCCGTACCACAGCCTTTTGTAGCTCTTCTGAGTGTTTGTGTGCTTTTTTCTTTCTTCTATTTGTAGAATTTCCACTCAGCCAGCTTTCCTGTGGTTCTGAATGATGTCCATTTTGTCCTTAATTGTAGTTTTGAAATTGTGCTGGGCAGCAGTTTAGGTGTTTAACTATGCCGCTATCTTGTTTTTTCTTCTCTTTAAGATTCTTTCTTTGTCATTAATGTTTGCCATTATATTTAGGACTTATTTTGGTGTAGGTCTTTTGGGGTTTATCTTGTTTGGGATTCTCTCTGCTTGTGTGACTGTTTCCTCCCAAATCAGGGACATTTTCTGTCATATTTCTTCAAATAGGTTTTCTAATCCTTGTTCCTCTTCTTGTCTTTCTGGAGCCCCTATTATATGTATGTTACTTCGTTTCATGGTTTCCTAAAGCTCCTTTAAGCTCTCCTTCGGCTTTCTAATTTTTTCCAATATCTCTTTATAATCCTTTTAGATTGTGTTTGTTTTTCTGCCCTGTCATATCTTTTAACTCACTAATTCAGTCCTTCGCTTCTATTCTACTGTTGAAACCTTCTATTTTGTTTTTTATTGTATCTATATATAATTTTGTATTTCCTCTTGATTCTTACAAAAGTTGTTGATTTTTCTCCCCCTGTTTATGAACTGTATGACCTTTTCTCAGAAT